ACGGTAATCTGGTTGATAAACTTTAACGCCAAGATTTTCCCTATGTGTCAAACTTGGTGGCAAAAAAGGTAAAAATTAAGGTTTGTACTGATAAACTTATCAAATTCGCCATTTCGCTAAATTTTAATAAACAAAAGGAAAATCCTATATACAGGACCTTCCTATTTGGAAGTGGCACTTATGATCCTTGCTAATTCAGATTCTCGGTCTAAAGTAGTAAATCTCACTTTTCTTCCCAATTCTCTTGCATTTAACTGACAATGTAAATGTGGCTTCATTTAATCTACTGAAACAAAGATTTACAATTAAAGTGGGACGTTTTGTCATTTTAACTATATACAATTAAAAAAAGTTCTGGCTAAAAATGCATGTCGATCTTTTCCATTTATCACAAATTGCGGATTAAGAGTTATCTACGGTTCCAACCTCTAATCATTTCTTAAATTAAAATGTTAATTTTATAAAAAAAATGCCTTTCTTATTGACAATCAAAACTCTGCCCCAACAAATTTCATTACATAAGATTGGTCCGCCAAATGAAATGCATTATTAATTATTGTAAATAAATAAATAATAAATAAATAAATAAATAAATTCATTATTCATTCTCGTAATAAATAAAATCATTTATCAATTCACTCATCACACATCATCATTATTTATTTATCGATCCTTTTCTAACGTTACACATGATTGAATTATTCTGAGAGAAAAACCCTATACATCATGCATCGTAAATTGTTTGGCATACCAAAATATGTAATACTGTATTTTTATTTATTATTATGAATAGCACCACATAATTTGTCAGTTGGTAGAGATTCTATGCAATTTACAATTTCGTACACTATTTTACTTTGTTCCATATTTTCTAATTTTCGTACTGAATTGTTTCATGTTACAGAGCAGATGTATGAAATACCGAACCTGTATATATAATCTCGTAATATATGATCAAAAATCTGGTCTGATATCACTATATTTACCCGAAGCCGATATCCTATTTATTAAAATAGTAATTTCATTTTGAACAAATAAATAGCAACAATAAAACAAAAT